CACGTTTATCTATTTTTCAAGATTCATTGCAAGCGGTCGTTGGCCATCATATTTGAGGACATTGGTTAATATAAACAATTACAACATTGGACGCTCGATTGTATTCCTTTTGTAAAAAGAGACAACCCGTTACTCCGCAAATAATAACTATTTCGTGTTTTATTATCTAATAGATTAAGATATGTCAGTATATCATTATATTCTCCGAAATCATAAACGTAAAACACGGTTGGATTAATCATTAAAATGTTTTTAATGACACTATTTTTCGCATTTTTTCTTTAAAACTGCATAAATGCGAATGAAATAAATTTTATTGGCCAAACCTAATTCATTAGCGGAGAGCAAATACTCTAAAATTATGGCAAGATGACCTTAGACCCGTTTAACAACTCGGAAACCAAGCCGTGGCTATTAACTGGCCTAACAGTCCAAGTAGTTTCTGATCCATTCAAGTCGATCAAACGCAATGCACTAAGTATAGTAATGCCGGATCCGCAGGCCACTGTTCGGAGAAGAGAAGTCAATACGTGACTTTGCCTACGGACTCTTCCCATTTGTATTCTCGTGAGAGGGTTTCGCTTCCGTGTTGCTCCGGATTGTGGGACTTTATCAAAAGCAACATGGCCTTAACTAACAGAGACGGACGACTGCTGGACGTCAATGGTAATGGATAGGTATAACGATAATAATGGCGTCATAGAAATATAGCCGGACGCGTATGACTTGTATTCCATATAAGTCGTTTTCTTCAAATCGCACATATTTCACACGAAGCCGCCGCAAGAGAACTTGAAAAGCGGACGTTGCTGGTTTTTCTATGATGGAACGTCCGATGGCAGCTTTGGATTGACAATGGCTAAGGTTTGTACGAAAAGAGGTCGCCGGCGTACGACAACCGTTTTTCTCCGTGTGTGAGCGTCTAACAGGAGGCAACGAGACCCCCGTAAAAGGCATTGGCCATATACGTGGGGACAAGATTCGCTCTAAACCGGTGTGTGTACACGTGATGTATATAGAAATAAGTAGTTGTGATTCAAAATGTGAAAGACGTTATTATATTTTGCTTTTTATTCTTAGCTAAACTTGGTTTTGTTCATTTAAACTCGGTAATCATAGAAAATATTTTACTTATTGGCATCCGCATTGGGTTCGTACTATGATATCCATTTTAAAGTATTTCACTCTATCATCCAGATAATAAACTTTATATGTTATTTATGGCCTATAACAATTTCAAAAATGTTTTTTTTTTTTAATAAACATTGCAATTGTTAATTTCATAACGTTCCCAAAAAAATAAGTCAGTTTTAAAAAAATCCATTTATAGATACGTTTTTATTATCAATAACGTATTTAGAGATTTCAACAACAAATACATGATATTATAACGTATTGGTTTGACGTAAATATTCGACCTAATTTTTATTAAAATCAAAGTCCTATTTTAGTTAGAAAAGCGAACGAAAAGAAATAATTCAACAATAACATTCTAGAACATGTATTAAAATTACTATGTTAGTATATCTACGTATGTTGATATAAAAATGATCATCATAAGTCGAAATCTCTTTAATATTCTGTTCAATTATTTTTATATTCCAAAATTTTATAATTTGGTTTTACAAAAACGTTCAAGTGTTGCTTTGATGTTTTGACATCACTTTGAATGCGCTGAAGATAAGAGTACGTCACTATATGAAGAAAAAATATTCAGACCCTTTTGTGATGAACGAAAGGACAAGGTCAAGAAAATGAGCCAGAGAATTTTAATTGGCTTTGAACACACGTCAACTGTACTCTGTACACTTATGTCAACACGAGCCTTCGGGGACGCGCATGCCGAAAGATAATTATTACATCCTTCACACTGCTGGAGCAAGATATCCTTAGGCTACATAAAAAAAAAAACGGAAAAGCTCAATGTCATGACACATTATTCGACTCTAGTTTATCTTTCTACAGCTATAACGAAAACTCGTAAGATTATTAATAAAACGGCCTATGTGCCTCTATTTAAAATGTATTCACAACACTTGATGTTCTAAGAGTAATCATAAATCTAAACCTAGTCAGTGTTTCCACAGTTAAAAAATATTAGTATTTAATTATAACATGTAATAGAAATTATTTTTATAAGTTAATAATAACTCAACGAAGTGTCATCATAACACATGTGACTGATTTAAAACCGTAGAGAACACCGCAACGAATAGGTTATTAATAAATGTATAGTGTGAATTTAAATGTTTGATATCTAGTAGTTAATTAACTCAACAAAGAATATATTTTAAAACCAATTAGAAGCGAAATTGCTCTACATACACAGTAATGGTGGTAACGATCAATTGTTTAAAACTAATTATAAGAATCCAAAGAATGGGTTGTACTGTAGACAGTCAATTAGTTATTTTGGAAGCCTAAAATTTTACCCAAATAGTTTAAGAGATATATTTTTCTTTCCAATAGGCTTTTTTATTTATGTTATTTTTAAACAACAGACCATGACACTTTTATGACGCAACTCAGTAAAATCACAAGTCCTAAAATCCATTTGAGTGCTACCGTAAACTACTTGTTATTTTTATGAGTTCGTTTAACGAAAGTTATTAACCGCAAATGTTTAGGTATTTTCAATAAAACAGATTGCTTTTTTGACACAACCAAAACTGTAATTCAATATTATCGTGGCTGACCTGGGTACTGTTTTTCTATTAAAAAAATTATGTCCAGCACTAAACATTCATTTAAAAACGAAGTTTTAATAAATAAAAATGCAGTTTTTAAAATACAATTGTTATTTAAAAATCTTTTCAACATCTTTAAGGTTTTAAAAATTACTTAAAAGGCAACTTTTCAGAAATTAATAATTAAATAATTAAAAAACAACGGATATTATTGCGCATAAACTTAAAGTTGCACTCCATTGCTTTATGTGTATATAACATTTATAAAATAAATTATAAGCTATTAAAGGGTTGTAAATATTATAATTCTATGTTTATTTGAGTTGTTTAAGCGTGAATTTATTTATCGACATGTCAATAGACAATGTATAGAGTTCGTAGGCGCCTTCGTCAACCGCACAAATCGCACTTATCTATTTAACGGACTTAAAAGTCCGTCTTAAGTAAATTAATTTATAATATTATAATATGTCGTCTAGATCAATTATTGAAACAATATTTTGTTTCTCTATATTGCCAACTGATTATTCATAATCTACACACGTGGCATTTAAAAAAACAACAGTACTGTTATCCTGATTTTACTTTCAATAATTATTATATTTCGTGTCAAGTATTGAATAGTTATATGCAAGCGCTAAAAAAGGTTATGCACACGTGATATTCATGAAACAAAACGACTTTATCGAAAAAGCGCCGTGCTTTAATAAATAAATTGTAATAGAACTAAAAAACTGTCCGTTAAAAAGTTAATCAGTAGTAATTTGACCGCATGAATCATATAGTGAATAATTACGGTTATCAAAATTATAATAATAAATAAAAACAACATGATTATTTTGTGTAATGTTCATTTTCTTAGCATACAAAACAAAAAGAAATTCAAAGTAAAATAATAGGAATAAAAAGGCAATAATTGAAAACACTGTAATAAGTGTTTAAACACACATTAAAGAAATTATGAAAAATATACATGATATTTTGAAAACAAAACTACTTGTTTGTAATAGATTAGTATGTGTTGGTAACTTCAATGTTTTAGAAAGTTGGTAATTTTCACGATCAGAGAAAAATCTCGAACGAAAGAATTCTCTTTAGCCCAAATTATATTACTACAAATTTCTTTATCAAAGAAATCTCACCGAATAATTGATATAATCAAAAGTATTACACAACAAGGTACATTACTTCCAATCACATTCAATCAAATCATTTGATCACAAAAACGAATACGAGCAATGAATCAGCTCATAATTATTATTATTGTTCATCGAATAGATGCCCAAATAATAATACGTTCTTCTCTTACTTTCATTTATATCAATACAACAAATACTGCCTAGAGACGTGTAAAAATACTTTGATGAATATAATCTCACCAGCGTCCCAATGATCAGCTATAACCTATTAACTAGACATGACAGATTGAAGACTAAAAGTTGAATATAAAAAAAAAAAACGTTTGTTTCTGTACATTTATTTTTTTAATATCATGTTTTTAGTACCAAGAAATATGAGATCATATACTATTATGTACATTAAAGTAATTTATTATGATAGTTTAGTGTGTACATCCACCAAAAGAAAAGCATTGCGATGAATACTTGTCCAGACAGTTGAATAATAATTATAATTGTAATGCCCCACGAAGATATGCTTACAAATGACTATTGTAAACAAAATAGTATTATTGTAGGCCGACTACTTCAAGAGGGTTACTGCTGAAGGGGTCATTCAAACGCATGTAAATGAGTCGTCTTCCTAATAAATAACTAATTTCCATAAGTCTACAAAATATCGTCCGGATAATGTTCAATATCAAAACCATTTATACGCCATAAAGTACTAAGATTTACGAAACACGTCCTCTACTTTCTTATCATACAAACAAATTACATGTTTTTGTTTTATCTCTAAGTAGTCTTAGCAAACGATAAAAAATTGCACGAGTATAAACTTTTACAAAGATCAGTGTAAGTTATTTGCAAATGCATTTGTAATCTCACTACAGAGTGTAAAATAGTAGGCAGTGTAACGAGCGTTGGTCGAAGACGGTGCGATTATCATTGTTGTTGTACGATAATATTTATTTATGCTGTCGAATTCACACGTCACTCGTATAGGTTCAATTCAATATGTACATAGAGTGTGTAACTTAGTCACAGGCATCACATACATTGCGTACAAACTCGTTTACACGACACACCGACTGAGAAAAATTAATACTATTTCAACGCACACGTGTTGTAGTACACAAGTAAAATAGCGAACTTCAGTACTTATTTTAAATTAACGTATTAAAAAAATGCATACCTTGCACCAACCACCATTTGTTTTCTGGCTATGTCAAACAATAACTGGGAGTAAGATGTCACTCCTTCTTCCGAGAATATATCGGCTGTCGTCATGATATCTGTAATTAAAATTCATAAAATTACAACAAATTCAGACATTTTTTTCATATTTATTTCAGCTTACTCGTAATGAGATTAAATTTGTCATAGGCGTGACAGGCACACACTTTAAAATTTAGCAAAATTACATGCATTATTATTTTTTTAAGAAAACAAATTAAAGTTAGCCCCCCTCCCCAAAAAATTGATCTTATGGTTTACGTTTAAACACATTACAAGCAACAGGTGATTTTAATAAATGGCTCAATCTTAACTGTATTATAAATACTTAAATAAACAAAGCCTGAGGATTTCACAGAAGTTCGCTACACATAGGCATTCTAGATTAGTTATTTTATTATAAGTTCACATAATTTATCGCGATGATTAACGCTGTAAGGCTTAAAATATCTTGAATGTGTAAAACGCGTAAGGGGCGGTCACGTATCAACAGCTATACATGCTAACCGATTATACTTCTGCAACAATAACCGGTCCAAAAAATTAATAATCAAAGATTAAATATTTAAAATTAAAAATATTTAACTCGAAAAGTCACAAAAAAATAAAAAATGACTAAAAAATCGCGGTTTCGTTTATTTTTTAATATTTAACATTTTTCAATGTATAGAGAGATTGGTTTTCCTACATATATAAAGCCAGCACCTCTCGAACTACCTAAAATAAAGTCAATAATTAATGTGTTTAAAGCAGTAACAATGTATCTATGAATAATAAAGACCACAGAGAGGATAATGTCAATGCTCTTTTTTGGGTCATCATTAGTTGCGTGCAACTTCCAAATTAATTCGTTATATAATTTACACGCCAAAACGTATGACTGGTGTAGGATTATAATAGTTCTGGCTATTATGGCTATTCTGACTATAATGGCCACCCACAAACAGAGTCATTTTTACATTTCTCAAAAGGTAATAAATAACATTTTAATAAATAAGTAGCCGGCAGTTACTTAGTTGTTAACTTTTATTTTTTATTACACTTTAATCGTACGGCTTTGAATGACAATATAAACCATTGCGACATCGGTTGGAAAATCATTTTGGCGAAACACCAGTTTGTCTATCTGCATAATAACTATGTACAACGATAATCTTTCCGTACACAAAACAAGTACGTTAAGAACATAAATTTATTTGAAATTTAAATGTGAAACAAGGCGTGTAAACAAGAAAAAACAATTTTAACACATATTTAGGGACACATGCCCTTATCTAAATACGTCTCTGATCATATTGCAATGATTTCAAAATAACATCAATTATCATTGATAATTATAAATTAAATCATAATTTAAAGCGTACGTGACGGAAAATGTATTATTTCATCAGAATTAATGAAAATCTATCATAATGAATTCGACCTTTAAAGTTATCATCACAATCGAAACACTGATATGTTCACTATGTACAATGGCGGACATCATTACTATTTTCTTCGTATCAAACTAGCTCATTGAACATTCATAAAATGATTTCTCATCATTAATTGTTCGTCTAAAGGCTACACGTTGCAATCTCGATTGATACGCATTTCGCAAAATAAACAATCTTTTTTTCAATCATTAATTGAATTTTTTCATATTTTCTACAATATGACGCAATTTCGTTGTCGACTGTAGATAATATCGAGTAATATTTAACTTAAGAATATCTGATTTTCTGAAAGCTGACCATAATAATGTTCGTAAAAGACGTCGCATATCGTCTGCCGCGGTTATTGACCTTAATACGACCGATTTAACTCAATTTTCAAATAATAACAACAATAATGAAAATAAAATTGTATTGCACGTCAAGAAGTCTATCAGCTATAGTTCATAACTGTCAAGAGATACGCTGTCTGTAGTGTTACATCACTATATTGTAATTTGTTCAGAACCGTTTGTGTCGCTCACTTGTTTGCGTGAAAAAATTTAAAAAATATGTATTCCGTGACTAAAAAATTGTAACACTACTATATATAATGTTAAAAAACGTAGAAACTATTTATTTACCTTAATGTATGCTGTCAAACATTTACATGACGTTATTTGGCTTGAGATGTTTGGTCAATTTTTCCTAATAAAATTATTTTGTTTTAATAACAGTGTACTAAAATAAGTTATCGAGACAAAGGAAAATACTCGGAGAAATTCTGGCGGTCTTTAGCTTAAACCTCAAGTGAGAGTTTTTTTAAATATAGCCGAAATATTTCAATAATTAAACATAGGCCGTTTAAACGATTGCGGTGCATCAATGTAAATTAGTCGGCATACCGTAAAAAAAAACTTTAATAGAAAAAACGCACAGAGAAATGGAAATTTGATTGTATTCTTAAAGAGAAACGCTTTTTCAAAAACTAAAAGAGTTTACATAGATATAAGTTTTTAATTTTTACCAGCCCGGGGGTTTATGGCATCAGCCAGAATGGAAATAGTAATTATGTACAAGAAATTACATTATTACTTATACCATCCCATGTTACAATGCGTTATTAAAACGTACACCACAGCTAATGTGCTAAGAGAATCGAGTTAATCTTTACTATTTTTTTGAAGAAGAAGAACTCTTAACGTTTGAGTTGCCTTATGATTTCGATTTTGCGGGTCGATAATCCCCGTGTAAGAAAATATCTTATGTACAACGTTCTAATGTGCACGAGGATTCAAAACCCCACAGAAAAACATAATATATACCATGACATGTGTTAAGGTTCACGACTCATCGCCTCTTTTTCTCACTACTTTTTACCTAAATCTATACGGTGAGATCGCAACAGTATCCACGGGGTGCGTACTGCAGCAGTGACAAGATGAACGGCAGATGTGCATGCAAAACGTATATACATATATATATATATAAAACAATGGAAATAAAAACTGCGAAATCTGAAGATCGACCAATGCAGATGTTTGAGGCACACGACAATAAAAAATATACAAACAAATGAACAAGGTTAGCAACAGTGTGAGCATAAAACGGCAAAACTCGGAGGCCGATCTCGACACAATCATCGGAAGACTTTGCAAGTACTCTCCCCACGTTTTTGTCGCGCGCATTATAATAATATTTTGCGGTCCGTGACAACCAGTAATCGCAATCTAAACGGGGGAGTCCTATCCAACAGACGCCCACGACGATGCGGAGGAGACGATGTGAGATGATAAGCGTAACTCGAGGGCCGAGTGCATAAAGAACAAAGCGTATAACAAACACAAACCGTCGTAGTAATTGCAACGGTTAGTTTTTATAAATAATCGAACATGAACAGGTCTACCTTCAAACTTCAAGGTCATCGTCTACTACGAAAGGGTCGAACGCACGACTCACACGCACTTGTTGACCGAATGCTTGTGCTATGAAGTGCAGGATTTGTTTACGATTTTTCAAAAAATAACGGCCAAAAACACATCTGGCATTCTTCAATCAAAAACGTCACTGATTGAGATCATATTTCACGTTTTCCGTTTCAAATTAGTACACTGACCCATGCGAAAAACTGCTTACATAAAAGCACCTCGAAACTATCTTATTGCCCGTTTGCAAACGTCTGTCTTTTAACAAACACAGTGCAGACTAGACAGTTGTCAAACCAACTACGACTTAATTCTCACGGTGTACCTTCCGCAAGAGTCGGTCGATTCGACGCTCTCGAATTTTATTCGAACGACTCAACAGTCGGCATTCGTACAGTTTATTGCAATAAAAATATTGTAACACACTCTCAACATAACCACCACGTTCCCCGCGGGTGAATACACTGCTACACTCTACCTATTTATATATTATTTTGAATTTTCATCCACGCAAAATGCTTTCCATACAACGTTACCTTGAAATTAACTTGTAGCCTCCAGCAATGTCAGCAAGACTATGTACAATAATAATAATAAATATATTTACATGTAATGAGTTCACTATCGTATGGCTTGCCGACAAACCGCACCGCGTGGAGGTATTAAACGTCGTTCAACTAACCGGTCCAGTAATTGCCTAGCCGTCCCGTTCTAAGGGATGCACTAACATATCATTACCGTAACATCATAAATTTTAACAATACACCAATTAACTGTCATACACCCACAAGCCTATTTTGTAAGTACCGTTGGAATCATATGATTTTTTCGATATGCATTTAAACAAGTTTCTACGATTTTCCATTAAATTCATAGTCTAGCATAAACAACTAAATGTTTAAACATTAAAGAATAGTTATATTTTATACAGTGTTGGTTGGGGTATGTTGTTTGTTTAATAGTTTGATAGATAAAATACCAGCACAGAGGGCACTCGTCGTACTTCGGACAAGTATACCTGACAGTGATTGAATCACTATCATAGCTTTGATGTAAATCGTGTTTCATTTTTAGACGGAATTGTTTGATTATTACAAAAACATCATAAAATTCTTTTTCTTTAATTATATTCTGATTACAAGTTTTGTAATTTATAAGTATATCGCAGGGATAAATAATTATTAAAGAAATTAAATTTAGTATGATTACAAATTATATTCAATAATTTAATATTGTATTTTTTACGGAGAAATTATTAAGTATTTATATATTTCGTTACTTCTACATTGACGTGACACATTTATCACATAGTGAACGTGTATCAAAAACGCAAGTATGGATTTATTAAAAAAATAGTAAAAAAAAAAAGAAAGTTAACTTTCTTAATTCAGATTATTATGACCTTTGTTAGTTAATTATAATTTCAATTATGAAAATGTAATATATCATGAATTATTGGTAGCTAGAACATTTTTTTTTGAAAGATCATCCCCTTCCCTCTAATAAACTCAATGAATTAAAAGCTGCAAAAATTCTCCCAGAAAATATTCATATCTTTTTTGTTATTATTATTTTATTGTAAAAAATGGGATAAATGAGGATATTTACTTCTCTCCTATATGAATATACTGTTTGAAATATAAGCTTAAATAATTGAAAAAAAAAATTGATGTAGACATTTTAACAACACGAGAAACAATGATTTTTACAAGAAAAAGAACATATTTTCTTTAACTTCAGGGGCCGTCTACATATAAGAAGTTAAGGTGTTGGGTCAATTTTTTTTTTTAACTTCAAGTAAGTAACATAAGTTTTAATTGAACATATGTTTAAAGAACGAATTGTTTCTGGAATAATTTCAAAAGTTTAGCTGAAAAAGTTAACTTTTCGTGAAATGTTTATTATTTTAAAACCGTCTTGTGGGCAGCTAAATAATTAAACATATAATACAAAAATACCAAATAAACAGTATATACTTAAGGTATTTTTATATAAAAAAAAATGTATTTTGACAAATTCATTTTTAAAAAAGTTTTGTTGGTTTTATGAAAAAATTCTTTAAAATTTACCGACTTTATAAATCGTAATTTTCGAGGATTTTGACCATTTATAAGTAATGAGGGAAATTTTTGAGGGGAATGTCTTCAATTAGATACAATTTATGTTTCTTTGACGTATCGTTAAAAAAATCAATCCAGTGAGAGCCGAGAAAAAGTGGTGAAGACATAAAAATAAAATCACATCATAGTAAAATTAATATCTCCTCAACTTAATTCAATGCATAAATGTATTGACATGACAAAACTACAAATATGTTATGAAGAGAAAGTTGTCAAATCCTAATAGAAATAGAATATAGTTGATCGGACAACTACCAAGTAATTATTTTGCGAAAGTAATATGGTTTTGTAGAGGATTAATTTAATGTAAATTAAATTAATTTGTTTTTTAATATTGAAGTTTATTTTTTTTCTTGTTATACCTTTTTGCATATACAAAAATAAACAAATAGATAAAACTAGGTTCACAATTCTGTTGTACCTAAAATAAGGACAAAAAATATATAAAAGATTTTATGTAGTATGTTAAGAAATAAAACAAAGCTACACTAGATGAATTTATTTCTAATTAAAGAATATCCATTAATTTCTCTCATTTTATTATAACATTCAGGAAATTATTAAAAATTATTTCTTAAATTAATTAAATAAATTTGGCAAAACTGATTCATAACTAAACAGTATAATGTTAGGCTATTCTATTATTATTTCATAACGTAATATAAATACCTAATATCGTCTACTAGATATTATTTTTTAATTAATAATACATTTTTATTATGGCTAAGAATATTTACAATCTGTACAATGTTAATAAATAAATTTTACCATATGACATGCGTTAAAAAATATTAATATTAATTTATTATATTAAACTAATAATATCAAATTAAAAAAAAAAAACGTCAAGCATATTTTTATGTACTTTTGGCGTGAGAATTGCAATCAGTCGACTACCCTAATGTTTTTATTTTTTCTTAATGTGTGCAAGTCTTTCATGATATAATTGTATATTATTATTATTTTATAATTTAATTTTTTACTCTTTCAATATAACATAGTAATATATAATATATTATTTTTTGCTAGCAATACCAATTTATACATCTGTATGTTAGTATATTAATAAAAAAACATATATTTTTTGTTGTTTTTTAATTAACGTTATACTTTTGGAAGGGCTTTCATAGTTATAAAAACTGGAGTGCAGTTGAGTTGACCTGCATCACCTGCAACAGGCTATTCAAAGCTACTGAGCTATGTAAAGACAATAGTGAATACAGTGTAATTTTGTTTTTTTTTGTTTGCACATTTTAAACAGGTCACATTTTGTTCTACAGCAATAATATTTACGTCTTCATAAAGATTAATTCTTGAGGTAATTTTCGAAAAGTTTCCATATCACATAATAGTATTGTGAAAAAACAATATGAAAAATTCAGAAAAAAAATATAGCCAAATCATTATCTATGACTTTCTTAATTTTCTTAAAACTAATTATTAAAATAAAAATCAAATAATGTACAATTTGTGATGCATTTCTAATTATGTAGTTTCTAGAATAAGTCATAACTAGAACAATTGATTGTGTAATGCAACGATGTTATGTATTGTGACTGAAACTGTTTTTTACGTGACACAATAATAAACCATAAGAATAAATCAGTTGTGTATGTTAAGCTCGATTTATTTTGTATCAGTCCATGTAATAAGACATGAACATGTATATAGACTAAGGAATCACGCTAAACCGGGTAAACAGTTGATATTATTTTGTCTCTAATGAATTTTTTAACGCAATCAAAAAATTGAAAAAAAAAACTCAAGAAAAAACAATATTTGATGAATAGAACAGATAATTAAAATGTACAAAAAATGCTATCTCTTTTAATGAAATTGCCCTGAGAATACATACAGAAGACTCAATAATTTAATTTAAAAAATATTCATAACATTAGTTTGACCTGCAGCGGATCCATATTTTATATCAGAAAAGACGTTTGAAATAAGAGGAATTTTCCTATTATTTTTAATTAGTTAAAATACATTCAGCCTACTCGATCGCTGACCATTCATCGACACAGAGGCCGTTCGTTAAAAGTCAATAGTAAATTATATGCTTACCTTCGTGTGGAATAACGTGATGTTCTGGTTGTGTTCGTTGAGCGCTTCCGATGACAACGATGACAATATAAGCCATCAACAGCACCCGTAGATTGCACATGGTCGTGCTTCTTACGCTGAACCTGTAAACTAATAAAATTGTGTCGTTTGAGTAAATTGCGAATAAAATACTGTAGGTGCTATTTATTTTTTCTTTGGATTGTTATTAAGAATCACTGTTAAAATTCACCCAGATTACCACGTTTTCAAACACAATTCAGACTAATGGGTAATTACGATTTACAATCGTTTTGTTATTAAACAAGTCGATAGAAACCGCTCATTGAAATCCCACAACGGCATAACAAATCATGTTTCATTTTAAAGACGGGAAATTATTTCCAATGAGATAATTCAGGACTAAATATAGACAACCTGACGCTATCATTTCCAATTGCATTTCAAATGAATTCAAGTTTAAATAGAATTGTATAGAAATTNAATGAATTCAAGTTTAAATAGAATTATATAGAAATGTTGTTTGTTTTATCGTACATCATGAATGCTCTGTGTATTTTCAGTTTATTTGTTAGTAAACATATTTTGTAGAGACCAGGCTTTGCTCTATACATAACCTTTAAAGTGACTCACATGTCTTCATTTAAATGATCAAATTCTGTGTCCCCTTTTAAACGTAGTTACAACATTACTGAATAAACACAATGCATAACGTAATAGATTTTGTTTGGGCGACACAGGCTTTTAATATTCTTAAGATGACAACATAATGCACACCGACAGAGGTGGCTATAAATAAAAATTATTATAGTAAATTGATTGTATACTACAGTGTATACACATCATTAATTTTATGGTGAACACTTTTATTATACATAAACCAGATGAACCTTTTTATTTTTTAACTTATAATTATGACATCGAAACACGAGGTAAATTAATATTTTATGTTAGCTTACTTAAACAATACCGAGTAAGAAACAATGAAAAATTTATAATGATTACCCTTTTTTTTAATGTTGGGGGTCAATGTTACAGTCAAAAATTGTTGCAACGATAAGACTTTAAATTTATTATTGTTTCCTGATTGCTAATGAGCTATTCGAATGTATAAAAAAATGCACAAAATTTAACAAACACATTGTGCACTCTTGCTTGTTAAAAAAACATATTTTAACGGCCTTGACTTGCTGTGATCTGATATTTATCAAGTTCGTTGACTGATATTACGAAGATTTATCGCAATAATATAATTATTACCTTGTGGAAAGCCGCCGAAACTAGTTTAAGCATTCGATAAAATACTAGTAGGAAGCATTGCGCGCATAAAAAATGAAACGAAATCTGTCGTTGAAGTCTCTGTGCAAAGTGATCGTTTTATGCTTCACAGAAGTTCTTTATGAAGATAAATAGATGATAAATAAAAATCAATTCTCATAGTAACGTGCGCATAAAGGTAACCACATAATTTGTCATGACAGTCATGTAATGCATTGTGGTAAGATATTGGCTAACGATATACAGCCTCGGTTAAGAATCAAATTGCCGGCAAACTTTGTACGTTTGAACTTTTATTAATTCATCTATTGTCTCTATTCGTGGCCGAACTATCACACAACCACTAAGAATAACCTTTGTCTCGGTATAAAGAATCGTGAGGGAATAAAATATATCACATTGCGCGTTGACCACATACTATGCAGTTGTTATTTACAAATAAAACCAGCGAATGGACACAATAATGTCTAACCGATACCTCAGAGATACAAAAACTACTCGGTTATGAAATAACCGCGACAGTACTGTAAAATAAATCGTTACATTATCAAATGTACATCGCTCACGTGAAAACATGAAATCGTGAACTAACAGCGATCTGAAATATTTGATAACTATTTAACCACAGACGCATTGTATAAGTAGTACAAAATGAGTGTAAATTGTTATCACACGTATTAAGATATTGTATCCAGACGTTTTAAATGGAGCAGGTAGAAACTTCAATTTCACTACATCGTTTTGTTGTAAACCCACTCACAACAACAACAAAGTAATTAAATTGTATAGGCCAATTTAATGGTAGCAAAATATACTGCCGGCGTTTTTATTAGTATTTAAACATTAATAAAAACTTGTTATTATCAAGTAATTAAACATCTACGTGTTAATGAATTTCTAAAACTATTAATATATTTTTAGCTTCAATGCGCAGCTAATAATAAAATATAGTACAGATCTGGATGCTAACATTTAATTAACAATATTAAACTGTGAAAAAAAATTAAGAAAACGCCATAGGGACAAACGAAAAATTAATTTACTTTAATTTTCAGGTAACTTTTTTTGTTCACCATAAGAAAGTAAGTCACGGCACTCTTCGTTGGAAGTGTTGTCATATAAATTAAAAAAAAGCAAATTAATTTTTTTCCAATTAAAACTGTTGAGCGAGGAAAACTTATCAAGTTGTATTGATATCGTAGTTTTTTTTTACCACATTATAATCAAGAAATTTATTTGTGATCTAGTGTTTTTATAATTTTGGTAACGCAACTCTAAAGTTATTTATTAACATAAAATATAGTGAAATTCATTCAATTTGACTAGTAAATTAAAAATAATATAAATTATGAAAACGAAAAATTTATAACAATAACTTTTTTAGCAACAATTTGGTAAAAATGTTGAGATTCGGATACATATAAAATAAAGTTGTCTCTTGCAAAACATGTTTATAACTGTTTTGTTCTGTATATCTTAAAAAATGGAGGACGTTCTACTCAAATATAAATCTTTTGATGAATTTCAAGATTATTTAGGTGAAGTAAAAGCTTTCGCTGGAGACTGACTTAAACTCAAATGTGTTTATAATACTTAACGTTTTATTTAAAAACCGCCGAGTATTGAGCAAGCACGTACATTAGCATCCGGTCCGCTTACAATGTGTGCATATACAATATTATGATGCACCTCCTCGTGTGTGGTGGCTGCTACTGTAGTTTTATTTTTAACAAAAAAACAGTATCCAGACGCACAACTCTGTCGTATCACAGCACGTCGCTGAGAATACAAAAATGGTATGAGCAGGCAAGCAGAGTCAAGACGCATAACAATAAACGTTGGACTGGTTTTTTTGGAGTTCTTCGAATTAAGATTTTACATTACAAATGACTAAACGCAATTTTTGACAAAAAAGAAATATCACGCCAGCTATAGTAAATAATGATTTATTTAATAGCAATAGAAAATGAAAAACACCTTTTACACAAAACATAATACAACTGAATCGATTTATCAGTTAAACTGGATTCTTGTTAAAAACTCTTTAAAAGAATACTGTTAGACAAGAATGATTAAAATCAATAGATCACGTGTGTGCTCGATTAGCGATTTTATTAACTTGTCATGATTAGTGACATATGGTTTTTTTGTTTTTTTTTCGGTAGCGATATTCTTCTGGGGAGGGGGGTGCCCACATAGGTCATAATCCGTCCCTGTCGACTAGGGCTATGATTTATGGTACGACGCATTGAATTACCAAAAATTTCATTAACATAAAACGCACAAGAAAACCGAAGGATATTTTTGATGAGTTATTTTGACTCGTGTAACTCGATACGTTTACAGAGCGCAAACAGAACAAAATAGTATACATAATTCTATTTGATTCACTATGAAGGCGTATGGAAGTTGTACATGGGACTGTGCGGTTTTTCAAAGATTAATAATAACTCAACATTGTCGAATAATCATTGAAGTGTGAGGAGAACACAAAGAAAGACAGAGATAACACACTAAAGACCTCGTTTCCTGCTGATACCGAAGCGTGTACAATGAAATGTATGTTATAATGATCAAATATAAAAACAAAGATCAAAGAAGAAATCTTGCGAACAACACTAGTAGAGAATAAAAGCGCGTTGGATATAGAACAAGCGGCAAATGATATAACTTCTTTGCGTGTACGACTTAATTATCCGTGGTAATGATCGTTGAAGTAATATGTATGCGGCTGGTGAGAACGAGGCTATATCTGGCATGTAATGTTCTAAAAAAATAAAAACTTTGTACACCTAAGACTGCGTCGGCCAACCGATAATAATAATCACAAGTCCGGCTTCTTGGTCATTAACAGCTAGAACAATACTAACACTGATGACATAGAAAAAAGTGCGACTTTAACGAGCGGTCATATGATTCCACTTAGTAAAATACATATAATAACGTCAACTCTGGAAGAATTCAACTATTAGTGAAATGTTTCCAATTGTATTTGAATAAAGAACTCGTTTTCACAATAAGTTATAAAAATTACTATTCCGTATAATGGAAGAATATAAATAATTATCATAAAATTGATTTAAAAGTCTAACTTTTCTATGTAAATTAAAAGTTAATTATCAAATGTTATCATTTTACTTTATAATAGAAATACTGTTGCTTATAATTACAGAACACAAATCATTAATTTTAATTAAGTTATACGTAAAAGTTGTTATTTATCAAACGGGTCA